CCATAAACATATCCCCAACAACTGGCAGAAATCATAAAGTTTTGAGATAAAATTTTGTTGGCTTTTTTGTCTCCACAAGTGAGGCAGAAGGATTTGTGAAACTAACAGGACACCGGAGTCCAAGGGGTACTACATCCAAAAAGACCACCGTAGGCCTGAGCAATGTATGTACCAGTCTAAGGGTAGTGCTAGGGTATAAAACCCAAGAGACCCCTCGTGGGTCTGAGAAGCGAATGCACCAGTCATGAGTGGTGCTAGGGCACAAAATCTGAAAGCCTCATTCATGGGGAAGAATGAAAAACTTGAGCAGATGCTGCCTCAGCCCAGCCCACTGCCCTGAGACAGGCTGCAGCTGTAGCGGGCAGGAGAGTTTTAGCGTGGTGGGAAGAGAACAGAAACAAGTTTAGGGAAAGAGATTGTTTAGCAGAGAGGTAGAAAAAACTCCTTCCATCTACCTGTTTGCTGGCAGTAATTTGAAAGATCCAGTAAAATATCAGGATCTAGAGAGCCGTTACGCGGCCAATTTGGTTATTTTCTAGGGGATATCTAGGCCACTTTTCAGTACAAAGGTAAATAAGACTGGGTGCCTTAACAAGTGGCATCCCAGTGGAGTGGTGAGGGGTGTTTCCTTGGTCGGTTTATTCCCCATGGGTAGAGCAGAAAGTGACCATCAGCTCAAGAGTGTGGCCATACTGTAAAGAAATGCAAATCAAAACAACTTGGAGATACCATCTTACTCCTGCCAGAATGGCTAAAATTAGAAACACCAATGATGACTCATGTTGGAGAGGATATGGAGAAAGGGGAACACTCCTCCACTGCTGGTGGGAGTGCAAACTCATACAGCCATTTTGGAGATCAGTATGGCAGTTCCTCAGGAAAATGGGAATTAGTTTACCACAGGACCCGGCAATCCCCCTCTTAGGCATATACCCATAGGATTCACATCCATGCAACATAGACATCTGTTCAACTATGTTCATAGCAGCACTATTTGTAATAGCAAGAACCTGGAAGCAACCTAGATGCCCCTCAATTGAAGAATGGTTAATGAAGATGTGGCACATCTACACAATGGAATACTACTCTGCAGAAAAAAATAATGGTATCTTGAAATTCTCAGGCAAGTGGATGGCACTTGAAGAAACCATCCTGAATGAGGTAACCCAGTCACAAAAAGAGGAACACAGTATGTACTCACTCATATATGGATTTTAGACCTAGATCAAAGGATCACCAGCCTATAATTCACACCACCAGAGGAACTAGGATACAAGGTGTATTCTAAGAGATTCATATAAAGTCCCTCACAGAACTGGGAAGGGACAAGTCCCCCAGAGCTCAGGGGAAGTAGGAGGGGCAGCGAATGGAGAGAGAAGTAGGAGAAAACGAGGGGGAGGAAAGGAAAACATGTGTGACCAGGAAGATTGAGCCTGGTTAGGAATAGAAGATAGGAAAGAGAGAGAGACAGAGACAGAGACAGAGAGAGAGAGAGACAGAGACAGAGAGAGAGAGAGAGAACATAAAATAGGGAGCCAATATTGGTTTGAAGTTAAAATTGAACACAAAGAAAGGTCTAGAGAACTACAAGACTGCTGCCAACTAACAATTTGAGCTTCAGAGGAAAGGCTATCATAAATGCCCTTCCTGGAGAGTGAGATCAACAACTAACTTCTCCATGGAGCCCTCAACTAATGCCTGTTGGAAACAGAAGCAAACACCCATACATAAACACTGAGTCGAAGTAAGCGAGAATGGCAGAGCGTTATTCGAAGCTGTCAGCCCGAATACGTTGCCAGGGCCAACAGAGGCCGGAAGGACTCAGCAGTCTGAGAGCAGAACAGATATACCCCCCCCCCGGGCGGTATGTCTTCCACCCGTGAGGAATGTTCCCGACCTTAAGGAAATGGGTTAAAATTTAAAAGGGTACCTTACCTAATTGAAGTCGGTGTGGGGTGGTATTTCCAGTGAACGGGGGTGTTGGGGGGGAAGATGGAGGCGGACCTCTGGTATCGGAAACAGGATCCCGAGTATCTCTGGCTGGCCACCCACCAGCAGAGGGCCACCAGTGACCCTCAAGGAGAGCCTGCCAGGGTTTCGGCACCAATGTTGTTCTTTTGATGCAACTGTTGCCTATAAAACACAAACACAAGACTCAGCGCCCACGTGGAGTTTATTGAGAGAAGGGAGGGGGGGTAGCTGGTGGCCAACCAAAAGCAGGAGGGGGGGGCAAAAGAGAAACCAGAGAGAGACCAGAGAGAGACCAGAGAGAGAGCAGAGAGAGACCTTTTTTGAAATTTTTATTGAAATTTTTTTCTTTTTACATAAAAGCCCCAGTTCCCCTCCCTCCCTTTCTCCCACTCCACATCCCTCACTCCACCCCTCCACTCCTCCCAGGGGGTAGGCCCTACACTGGGGAGTCAACAAAGTCTGGTATACCAAGTTGAGGCAGGACCAAGCCTATTCCCCTGTATCAAGACTGAGCAGTGTGTCCCACCATAGGCAATGGGCTCCAGTTCATGTACCCAGGATAAGTCCAGGTCCCACTGCCAGGGGCTCCCTCCCCATACAAATCAATACACATAACTGTCACTACATTCAGAGGGCTTAGTTCACTCCCATGCAGGATCTCCAGCTGTCAGTTGAGAGTCCATGAGCACCTACTAGTTTGGAGCAGCTGTCTCTGTGGTTTTCCCATTCATGATCTTGAGCTTCCCTTGCTCATATGATCCTTTCTCTCTCTCTTCAACTAATCTCCAGGAGCTCAGCTCAGTGTAGCTGTGGATCACTGCATCTGCTTCCATCAGTTACTGGGTATAGATTCTAAGATGACAATTAGGGTAGTCACTAATCTCATTAAAGGGGAAGGACAATTTAGGCACCCTCTCCACTATTGCTAGGAGTCTTAGCTAGGGTCATCCTTGTGGAATCATGGGAATTTCCCTAGCACCTGGCTTTTCCCTAACTCCATAATGGCTCCATCTATCAAGATATCTCTTTCATTGCTGCCCTTCTGTGTCCCTCCACCAACACAGTCTTCTTGATTCCTCATGTTTACACCCTCCATCCCTTCCCTTCTACTCCCTTCCCAGTTTACTCAGGAGATCTTAACTATTTCCCTCTGCTGGGATCCTCCATGTGCATCCCTCTTAGGGTCCTCCTTTTTACCTAGCTTCTATGGGGTTATGGATGCTTATGATCCCTTTTAAGATGACCTGGTTTACCACAATTAAAACAACTAACCTTTTGATTTTTACTAAATGTTTTTAGAAGTCACTTCCCCTACCTAAGTATCATCAAAAGCTTGAGATCCAGTATCAGATGTATTTCTATTCTTTTCTATTCTATTCTATTCTATTCTATTCTATTCTATTCTATTCTATTCTATTCTATTCCATTCCATTCCATCCCATTCATCTATAGGTGCTGATCTTGTCTTTGAAGGTCTGATCACCCTTTTACATTCTGAATTAGCACTTTCAAAAGCCAAAGATTCAATTAACATATGTGTAACTTCTATATCAAATATCATTCTATTTACAGTTGAAGTCGATCTTTATTTTTAAAAAAATCAGTGAAGGTTTCTTTTGGGACTTGTTTTAGTAAGTGGCTCAGTTCTCTTTCCTTATCTTTCAATCTTGTCCCAAGCATTCAAAGCTGCATAGGGCCTAGGTGTGATTAACAAATGTAATCTGTCAGCAGTGTGGTCCTCATGAGGATTTTATCTTGGGAAATGTCATAAACCATAGTCCCACCTCATTGCTGAATGGCCCTAGCTTTGTCTCTCCACCATGTTTTCCACTGTAACTGAGATCCAGATTCCAATGCTGTTATAATTAAATCTTTACAGCTGTGTGGAATAATTCTGTTCAGAGTGGCATATGAATTTAGCATCTGCTTCATAAGAGATGAATAAATATCATGTAAAACTTAAATGCTTCCTTAAATTTATCATGTCTATCGGATCCCAGTAAACTTAATAGTCTTGGGTGTGACTATCATCTTGTGATCATTCTTGAATGGTAACTGGATAAATTAAGGTTGGTTTTCTAATAACCTTAGCCAACTCCTCTTTCAGTTTCATAATATAATGTTGCAGTAGCTTCCGCTCTGAACTCCTCTCTCCATGTCTGAATATTTTTTCTTAGTTTTATTAGTATGGCTTTCTAAGATTATATTTTATCAGTTAAATTTTTTTTATGTGCCATTGATAACAAACAACATTTTTAGGGATAAAACATACATTACCAAAATGATAATGCTTATAATTGCCATGATGTTCATCCCAGGTAAGTTGATTATCCCTTCATTTAATTGTTTCATTTTCAAACCATCCATTGTGCAATCATGCAGAGACCTAATTCCCTGCACTGTAATATTTCCCACTTTAATGTGGGAAAAGACCCTGTTTTCTTTTCTTTCTTTTCCCTTTTAAACTAATTCCTTCCCTTAGGAACTTCTAGTTGTCTCACCAGATCTGCTGAGAATGACAATGACAATGACAATGGAGTGTGAGGCTGGCTGTCCCTGCCTAGCATGGCTGGGCAGAGAACACAGGCAGTGCACAACTTGGCTAAGTAGTTGTGAGCTAAGAGTGTGTGGCAGTCACAGCAACCTGAGTGGGTGTCAAGGTGGTCAAGCTGGTGTTGCGGCAGCCCAGAGGAGGGAGTCAAGGAGAAGTCTACAACTATAGGGAGAGGGAGCAAGAAGTGAGGGAATGGGGCTGTCTGAGGGCAGAGTCAGCTAGTCCTGATCTGCCGACTCCGTCTGGAGCCCAAGCACCTGTGGAGTTTGGGTGGCAGCTAGAGGCTGAGTACTCAGGGTTGCTATTATATTGTTGAGAGAGTCCTGGATAACATTCAGATCATTCTGAGTCCAGGAGGCAGAAACCCAGGGGCTCTCCTCCCAGCTCAGATGTGGGTAAGGTTCTCTCTTCTTTCTGGGGCTGAGGATGGATTTCAGTTCTACTGTGAGACAACAATGGTTTTCCTTCCCGATAGATGGCGTTCTCCTTGTATGTCATCAGCCATGTGGGTACAGTCATCTCCCTGGTATGCCTTGCCTTGGCCATAGCCACCTTCCTGCTGTGTCGTGCTGTTCATAACCAGAACACCTATATGCACCTGCACCTTTGTGTGTGTCTCTTCTTGGCCAAGTTTCTGTTCCTCATGGGTGTAGACAAGACGGACAACCAGGTTAGTGACCTCTGGGGCTGTGACCCAATCCAGCTGCACCATCTGCCCATGTTCTTCTGCTCATCACCATCTAGTTTCTTCCCTAGGACCTTTTCATGGTATTCTCTCCCAGGGTCCTAGTTTTCCTTCTGTTGCTGTGATAAACACAATGACCAAAATCAATGTGAAGAAAGTGTTTATTTCAGCCTATACTTTGATATTACAGTTCACTATCTTAGGAAGCCAAGGCAGGAACTGAAGCAGAAGCCATGGGGAGTGCTACTAGCTGGCTTGCTCCTCTTGACTTATCCCATCTGCTTCCTTCCTTCCTTCCTTTTTTCCTTCCTTCCTTCCTTTTTTCCTTCCTTCCTTCCTTCCTTCCTTCCTTCCTTCCTTTCTTTCTTTCTTTCTTTCTTTCTTCAATTGTAATTGTTTGACCAATGGATCAGACATATTGCTGACTAGATCTCTCTTATACACTGACCCATTTCTATTAATCTAAGTATTGTCATGAGGCTGTGGCTTACTGGTGACACTTTGGCATGTAACTCCTTTAGTGGCTATATGTCATTTCCCTGACTACATCTTCTTTCAGTAACTCTTTTTTGATTTCCCACCTAGCCATATTTTGCCTGACCATTGGTGAAAACAGCTTTATTCATCAACCAATAAAAGCAAAATTTATTTTCAGCATACAGATGGACATCTCATATCATCTCCCCCTTTCTGTCTAATTAAAATGTAAGGTTTAATTTTTTGTTTTTTCTTTTTTTTATTAATTTATTTTTCATATTCCAATCCTGGTTACCCCTCCCTCCTCTTCTCTTGCTCTCCCCAATCCCCCCTCCCATCTGCTTTCTTATATAACCCAGGACCACCATCTCAGTGATGGTATTGCCCACAATGAGCTGGGTTCTCCCATCTCAATGCCCTACACTCTTGCCAGTCTTATCCAGATGATTGACAAGAAACTAACCTGCACAGGCAATTTATCACTGGGCTTACCTCTTTTGACAGGTGCCACTTGTGGTATGAACTATTTTGGTCACCCTATTTTCCTATTTTTTCTTGTGTGCAGTATGCATGTATTTGTGTGCATGTTTTCATCTGTGTGAATGGAGTGTGTATGTGCATATGGAGACACAATGTAAGAACTCATCCCAATCACTTTCCCACATTTCTAATTGAGCTGAAGTCTCTCAACCAATGTAGAGCCAGACCATATGAATAGTCTCACTAGCAGGCTTCCTTCTAGGACTGGGGTGCAGGTGAGCCACTAAGCCTCCTTAGCACTTAAATGGTTTCTGGAGATTCGAGCTCTGACTCAGTCCTCACAACTTTTGCACCAAACACTTTAGAGACAGAGGTATCTCATTACCCCTGTTCCAAAACAGGTGTGTGTGTGTGTGTGTGTGTGTGTGTGTGTGTGTGTGTGTGTGTGTGTGTATGTGTGTGTGTTTGAATGTTTGCACAGATGTACAAGTGTGCACATGTCATGGAATACATAGGACAACTTGTAGGAGTTAGTTCTCTACTTCCATGTGATCAAACTTGGGAGCAAATGCATTGATCAGTTGAATATCTCATTGGCCTGACCTTGTATTTTTAGTCAAGATCTCCCATTGGTCTTGAACTCACCATGTAGGCTAGGCTGGCTGGTCGTGATCCATAGTCAGACTCGGTCTCTGCTCCCTACTGGGGCACTAGAAGCATGCATTTCCCTTCCTGGTTTGTACAGGGTGCTGAGGATTGGGGGAAATCCATGCATCACCCATGGTACATGGGTTACAGAAATACTTTATTGACTGATGACAGACTAAAAAAATGATCCCACCCAAGTCTGGTTGGTGAACAAATGTGTGTGGTGGATATGCTTACAGAGCACAGGTCAGGAGTCACTTATAGGAGTTTGGACAGCCCACAAATAGCTGGATCACTATAGAGTTCCACCCCATCACAGATGATGTCCTCATGGGAGCTACATTGTAGAGTACCTTCTTTCCTTAATCTTCCATTGCTTATGTACCCTAACTTCTCCCAGAACTACTTTTAGCTGAGGGAAACCTGGGGGAGGTAGCACCTAGAGTCCTGGCTAGTCTTCCTCTCCTTCCCTTTGATTAGTTCCATCACCAATACCATAGGTTTTCCTCTATTGGTTGCCATGGCTACCTGGCCCAGATACTCCCTACTTCACTGTGGTAAAGGTGTGACTACATTGTGCTCAGAGTAAAAGAGGCTGGATTGTTTAAGGAATTCCTGTTAAGGTCATCCCTTACTTGGTCTTGTCCCTCAACTTTCTGCCTGTTTTGTGAGGTCCTGACTTGCAGACTTCTCTCCTGTAGACAGCCTGTGCCATCATCGCGGGATTTCTACACTATCTTTTCCTTGCCTGTTTCTCTTGGATGCTCGTGGAGGCAGTGATGCTCTTCCTGATGGTGAGAAACCTGAAGGTGGTGAATTATTTCAGCTCTCGAAACATCAAGATGCTTCACCTCTGTGCCTTTGGTTATGGGCTCCCAGTCCTGGTGGTCATGATCTCTGCCAGTATACAGCCACAAGGCTATGGGACGCATGATCTGTGAGTGTCATATTCTTCTTTATGAAGATCTTGATTATAGGCTTTGTGAAGACAGTACCATACACCTTGACTATTGCCATGACAAAAATACCTAATATAGTAATAAAATTAAGGGATGAAGGTTTTATTTTAAATACACTCTAAAGGGCCACAATCTATCACAATGGAGAAGTCAGGGCAGAAACTCAAGGCAGGAACCTGGAGGCAGGAACTATGGAGAAATAATCTGAATGTTATCCAGGATACTCTGAACAATCTAATAGCATTCCTGAATACTCACCCCACCCCCAATGTTTGCCTGGCCCTCCATACGGAGAGGGCATCCACAAACTACAGTTCCTATAATTTCTTGTTATAGAAGTCCTGTTTTGTAGTATTGATTGTCTAAAGTGTATGGGCATTTCAGAAGGCAGAAAAGGAGGAAACTACCAGCCATCTGTATGTATGGGTGAGTTGTGGCCGGACTCCACACCCCAACTCTTTAGCCCCACCATTGCCTAGAGATGGAGCACACATGAATCCAGTAAATTCTAGGCCCTTTGAACTGAGCTGTGAGGGGAGGGTGACCTAGAAGCTACTCCATCTCCCTCACCACTTAAAATATCTAAAGCAGTTTCTGCCTCTGGGGCCGAGGACTAACCAAGGTGCTGATATGTGAAACATTTCAACTTAGATTGAAAGTAACAGTTGTACCATTCATTGAGGAGTAGTTTTAAAATTCATGATACCTTCTCTGTGTTAAAGATAATGACAATCACTTCACACAATGTTGTCACACACTGTTGAGAAAACTGCCCATAATTTTGCCAGCTCCCAGGTGTAAGATTCAGATTGACCCTCCTGGTCCCTAACTTCTCAATGAGTCCACCTTACTTTCAAGTCATTTTTTTTGGGGGGGTGACCTAATGAGTTTAATTTGGGCTTCGTTATAAGAGTATAGGTGACAGATTATTTATAGGAGTGTAGGTAACTTACGAGAAGCTACTCAACTGCAGAAAATGTCTCTATTTCCCTCCCCTAGAAACTATTAGCTGCCTTCAGATCCTCAGGGAGAGGTAGGGCCTTGTGGTGTACTCAAGATAGCTGGGTTAGCATGATAGCAGATGGTTGGATGATAGTTCTTTTATTAAAGCAGCTGGGGTGCCAAGGAAGGGTGAAATAACTGTCAATCAGATAGTCAACTTACCATGGATACCAACATTTTAACTTATTTAAAGAAAATATTAAAATGAGCCATTAAAATTGGGCCTTATTATGAACATTAAATGCTGGTTTAGTAGCATTTTACAATATTCTGATAATGCTCAGCTTTCCTGTGCTCCAGGGAGGGGTAGGTCCCTCTAGTTCTGTTGGTATCAGGGCCACCAAATGTTCACTACATAGAAGACTTACAACCATCTGAATCTAATTTCCCAGGAAGAGAATATCTAGTTGAACTAATTTTACTATTTTCTGAAATGTATAAATAAAACTTGCTCAGTCTGTGTAATGCTACTTGTATGTATGTCTTCAGTGCTAATTATTTAATATTGGATAACCAATTGGTGTGCTTTCCCCTGGAGACTATGTTTCCCACTCTCAGTATCCCTTAGTTGGCAATAGTTCTTTGTGTAGGAGTGAGACCTTGTGGGATTTCCCCCATATGAAGCCCATGAACCACACCAGTGGTACCTGGTAGGATAACCCTGTGGGTAGCAACCACCAGCTCTCTAAGACTTGTTCTTGGCTTAAGACATGTTTGACAAGAGGGAAATCATGCTTGTTACTAGAAACCTAGCCAGCTTCCCTAGAGCTAGTGAAGTCTCATATCTTAGAGGACAACCAACTTTACTAAATCAGCATAAATTCTAACCATTCTCTAAATATTTGTTCTTATGTGCATAGATCAATGTAGTCCTCAGCCCTCATCAAGGAAGCTCATCAACTTGCAACAGACATAAACCATTACAGAAAACTACAATCAATAAAAATGCAGAGTTGTGGGGCCCAGTCCCAACTAATACATCTACAAAACACCCCTGAACCTAAGGTTTAGAGAACATTGAGGAATAGGAGGTGGAAAGATTACAAGACCCCTAGTATATTCCCTAGCTAAGAATGGTCAGTAATGAGTTCTCACTGGAGGAAATGTTGGAGCTGAGGTTTGAATGACACAGTGTATTAGTAAGAGCTACATGGAAGAAGAAAGCTATGTGGAAGTTCCGAACCTATCATCACCTTGGACTCCATTCTAGGCAAAGGCCTCAGAAGGATTTACCCATAGTCTTTCTTGGCCCGTTAGACAATGGTGTGCACCCACCCCACCATCAGCATTTCCAAATGTACCTCATTCCACAGTGTTTTGCAGAATGCACAATTGCCAGGTCAGTGTGATGAGACAAGTGCTCATGCCTCCTGTGTTTTCCTTTTTAGCTGCTGGCTGAATGTAGAGACTGGGTTCATCTGGAGTTTCCTGGGACCAGTCTGTATAATCATTGTGGTAAGGAAAATATTTGTTCAAGTACATTTTGGTAACCAAGGAAAACAAAGTTAGGAAGTGTCATGACTGTCAGAGGTCCCTTAGACTGTCCAGGCCTTCTAGCTGAGACCCACATTCAGGGGGTTTGAGTTGGTCTAATGCTGGTTTCCCAACTATCAGTCTGGGGGTCCATGAGCTCCCTGTCATTCAGGTCAGCTGTCTCTGTGGGTTTCTGTAGCCTGGTCTTCACCCCATTTCATATCATGCTTCTCTCTCTGCAACTGGATTCCAGGAGTTCGGCTTAGTGTTTAGCTGTGTCTGCTTCTGTTTCCATCAGCTACTAGAAGAAGGTTCTTTGATGACATATAATTTAGTTATCAGTCTCATTATCAGGGAAGGGCATTAAAATTAGCCTTTCCACTGTTGCTCAGATTGTTAGTTGCGGTCATCCTTGTAGGTCTCTGGACATTTCTCTAGAGTCAGTTTTCTTCTCAAACCTATAATGACTCTCTCTATTATAGAAGCTCTCTCTCTCTCTCTCTCTCTCTCTCTCTCTCTCTCTCTCCATCTCTCTCTGTCTCCCTCTCTCTTTGCTCTCCTCTATTCCTCCCCTGACTCAATCTTCCTGGTCCCACATGTTCTCTTCTCCTCCCCTTCTCTTTCTCCTAATTCCCTTTCCACTCACTGCCCCCTCTCACTCCCAATATGCTCAGGAGATCTTGTTCCTTTCCCCTTCTGTGAGGGACCTTGTATGAATCTCTTAGGTTCCCCTTTGTATCCTAGTTTCTCTGGTGGTGTGAATTATAGGCTGGTGATTTTTTGCTCTATGTCTAAAATCCATAATACATATATTAGTGAGTACATATCATGTTCCTCTTTTTATAACTGTGTTACCTCAGTGAGGATGGTTTCTTCAAGTTCTGTCCATTTGCCTGTGAATTACAAGAGTTCATTGACCCCCCCACCCACCCACTGAAGTAGTATTCCTTTGTGTAAGTGTGCCACATCTTCTTTATCCATTCTCCAGCTGAGGAAAATCTAGGTTGCTTCCAGGTTCTTTCTATTACAAATAATGCTGCCATGAACATAGTTGAACCAATGTCTTTGTAGCATGGATGTGGATCATTTGGGTATATGCCTAACAACAGAATTGCTGGATCCTATGGTAGACTGATTGCCATTTTTCTGAGGAACAGCCACACCAGCAGTGGAGAAGTGTTACCCTTTCTCCACATCCTCTCTAGCATGAGCTGTCATTGGTGTTTCTAATTTTATCCATTCTGGGAGGAGTAAGATATTATCTCAGAGTTGTTTTGGTTTTCATCCCCCTGATGGCTAAGGATATTGAGCACATTCTTAATTGTATTTCAGTCTTTTTGATTTCCTCTATGGAGAGTTTTCCATTCAGTTCTGTACCCCATTTTTTAATAGGGCTATTTGGTGTTTTGTTGACTAGTTTCTTGAGTTCTTTGTATATTTTGGAGATCAGCCTTCTGTCAGATGTAGGTTTGGTGGAGATCTTTTCCCAGTCTGTGGGCTGCCGTTTGGTCACATGCACTCTAACCACCCTCCCCTCCCATCCCCCCACTCATATTCCATATGTAGGGGAATGCCATCCAGTTGGGGTCATGTAGATCTGACAGGTCATGTGAAGTAGGGACTAGGGCTTCTCTCTTGTCTCTAGATTAAGGCAGTTATCCCTTCATGTGGGATGTGTTCACAAGGTCCTTTTGTGCACCAGGGATACATCCTGGCTCCACTGTCTGAGGTCCCTTAGACTGCTCACTCCTTCTGGCTGAGACCCATGTTCAGGCAGGCCTGAGTCAGTCCCATGCTGGCTTCCCAGCTATCAGTCTGGTGGCCAGTTAGCTCCTCCTTGTTCAGGTAAGCTATCTCTATGTGTTTCTGCCGCATGGCCTTGTCCTCTCCATCTGCATCTGGGTTCTAGTTTGACTCAGTGTTTATGTATGGGTGTTTGCTTCTGTTTCCAACAGACATTAGTTGAGGGCTCTATGGATAAGTTAGTTGTTGATCTCAATCTCCGGGAATGGCATTTATGGTAGCCTTACCACGGAAGCTCAAATTGTTAGTTGGCAGCAGTATTGTAGTTCTGTAGACTTTTCTTTGTGTTCAATTTTATCTTCAAACCAATATTGGCTCCCTATTTTATGTCCTTTCTCTCTCTCTCTCTCTCTCTCTCTCTCTCTCTCTCTCTCTCTCTCTCTCTCTCTCATTCCTGTCTTCTATTCCTAACCGGGCTCAATCTTCCTGGTCGCTCGTGTTTTCCTTTCCTCCTCCTCATTTTCTCCTACTTCTCTCTCCATTCGCTGCCCCCCCCACTTCCTCTGTGCTGTGGGGGACTTGTCCATTACCAGTTCTGTGAGGGACTTTATATGAATCTCTTAGAATACACCTTGTATCCTAGTTCCTCTGGTGGTGTGAATTATAGGCTGGTGATCCTTTGCTCTAGGTCTGAAATACATATATGAGTGAGTACATACTATGTTCCTCTTTTTGTGACTGGGTTACCTCATTCAGGATGGTTTCTTCAAGTGCCATCCACTTGCCTGCAAATTTCAAGATACCATTATTTTTTTCTGCAGAGTAGCATTCCATTGTGTAGATGTGCCACATCTTCATTAACCATTCTTCAATTGAGGGGCATCTAGGTTGCTTCCAGGTTCTTGCTATTACAAATAGTGCTGCTATGAACAAAGTTGAACAGATGTCTTTGTTGCATGGATGTGGATCATTTGGGTATATGCCTAAGAGTGGAATTGTCGGGTCCTGTTGTAGACTGATACCCATTTTCCTGAGGAACCACCATACTGATATCCAAAATGGCTGTATGAGTTTGCACTCCCACCAGCAGTGGAGGAGTGTTCCCATTTCTCCACATCCTCTCCAGCATGAGTCATCATTGGTGTTTCTAATTTTAGCCATTCTGGCAGGAGTAAGATGGTATCTCAAAGTTGTTTTGATTTGCATTTTCCTGATAGGTAAAGATGTGGAGCACTTAAGTGTCTTTCAGCCTTTTTGATTTCCTCTACTGAGAATTCTTTCTTCACTTCTGTTCCCCATTTTTTAATAGTGTTAGTTGGTGTTTTGTTGACTAGTTTCTTGAGTTCTTTGTATATTTTGGAGATTAGCCCTTTGTTGGGTATAGGATTAGTGAAAATCTTCTCCCAGTCTGTGGGCTGCCATTTGGTCTTGTCCACTGTGTCCTTTGCCTTACAGAAGCTTCTAAGTTTGAAGAGGTCCCATTTATTGTTTCTCTCAGTGTCTGTGCCCCTGGAGTTATGTTCAGGAAGCGGTCTCCTATACCAATTTGTTCAAGGGTACCTTATACGTTCTTTTCTAAGATGTTCAATATGGCTGGACTGATGTTGAGGTCTTTGATCCATTAAGACTTGAGTTTTGTGCATGGCGACAGACTTGGGTCTATCTGCAGTCTTCTACAAACCCTCAATCCAATTGTGCTAGCACCATTTGTTGAAGATGCTGCCCTTGCCCCGTTGTATAATTTTAGCGGTTTTGTCGAAAATCAGATATTCATAGGTGTGTGGGTTAATGTCAGGATTTTCAATTTGATTCCATTGGTCTACTTGTATATTTTTGTGCCAATACCAGGCTTTTTTTTTTTCAGAACTATAGCACTGTAGTAGAGCTTAAAGTCAGGAATGGTGATGCCTCCTAAAGTTCTTTTATTGTATAAGGTTGTTTTGGCTATCCTGGGTCTTTTGTTTTTCCATATGAAGTTGATTATTATCCTTTCAAGGTCGGTGAAGAATTGTGGTGAGCTTTTAATGGGGATTGTATTGAATCTGTAGATTGCTTTTGGCAAGATTGCCATTTTTACTATGTTTATCCTACCTATCCAAGAGCATGGGAGATCTTTCCATTTTCTGGTATCTTCTTTAATTTCTTTCTTTAGAGTCACAAAATTCTTATTATATAGGTCTTTCACTTGTTTGGTAAGCGTTACACCAAGATACTTTATGTTGCTTGTGGCTATTGTAAAGGGTGATGTTTCTCTGATTTCTTTCTCTGTCTCTTTGTCGTCTGAACAAAGTAGGGCTACTGATTTTTTTGAGTTTATCTTGTATCCTGCTAGTTTGCTGAAGGTGTTTATCAGCTATAGGAGTTCCCTGGTAGAGTTTATTGGGTCGCTTATGTAAATTATCAGATCATCTGCGAATAGAGACAATTTGACTTCTTCCTTTCCAATTTGTATCCCCTTGATCTCCTTTTGTTGTCTTATAGCATTAGCTAGAACTTTTAGTACGATATTGAAGAGATATGGAGAGAGAGGGTAGCCTTGTCTTGTTCCTGATTTTAGAGGAACTGGCTTAAGTTTCTCTCCATTCAGTTTGATGTTGGCAGTTAGTTTGCTGTATATTGCTTTTATTATGTTTAGGTATGTTCCTGTTATCCCTGATCTCTCCAAGACCTTTATCATGAAAGGGTGTTGAATTCAGCATCTAGTGAGATAATCATATGGTTTTTACTTTGTTTATATGGTGGATCACGTTGATAGATTTTTGTATGTTAAACCATCCCTGCATTCCAGGGATGAAGCCTACTTGGTCATGGTGGATAGATTTCTCTGATGTATTCTTGAATTGGGTTTGCCAGTATTTTTGAGTATTTTTGAGTATTTTTGCATCGATGTTCATCAGGGATATTGGTGTGTAGTTTTCTTTCTTAGTTGTGTCTTTGTGAGGTTTGGGTACCAAGGTTATTGTGGCCTCATAAAAAGAGTTTGGCAATGAACCTTCTGTTTCTATTTTGTGGAACAGTTTGAGGAGTAATGGTATTAGTTCTTCCTTGAATGTCTGGTAGAATTCTGCACTGAATCCATCTGGCCCTGAACTTTTTTTGATTGGAAGGCTTTCGATGACTGCTTCTATTTCATTGCTCGTTACAGGTCTATTTAAGTTGTTTGTTTGTTCTTGATTTAATTTTGGTAAGTGATAGTTATCCAGAAATTTGTCCATTTCCTTTGAATTTTCAATTTTTGT